ACTGGCACTGAAGTGTGCCCCTGCCAACAACGAAATCATTTTATATTTCTCAAAGCTATGTGGAGAAAAATCGTGCGAAATATTTTTTAATTCCTCAGCAGCCTATTATGAATACCCATAATAATGTCAGCCTCTCATGAATGGTAAACGCTCAATACGCCGAAAAGTGGTTGGGAGGTGGGATAAAAAATTACCTCAATTCGATCTCGTAGTCACAGGGTGCTACATCAGCAAAAACATGAAACAAGAAAATTTATATATTTCTTTTTTGCACAATATTTGGAGCACAGTGGCCGGGTGGGGGGGGGGAGCGAAATAAAGCATCAATTCCACTGGAAATCACGAACTTGCTGAAATTTTCACGTACCTATAACGCAGATATATACGAAAGCTGGGTAGTAGAATGTTAATTTGCATTTAGGAAGGGGGAGGAGGGGCAACAGGATCGGTGGCAGACGCGCAGAGGATATGCGAACAGCGCAGGGCGCGCGCGCTCAGCGCGGGGCTAACTTTGACGAGCCATAGCTCGCGATCTAAACGTTTCCCCAAGATGCGGTTTTTTGCATCTTGTAGGAAATTAAGTGTAGAATCTAAAAAACTGGTTTTTGTTTTAGTAGAGTCATTGCGCGGTGCCGAAACACGACAAAATTGAAAATTTTGTCCCCCAAAAAATTGAAAAATTGCTAAAAATTTGCATTAAATTTAACTTTTTTTCAATTTTTCTGGTATCAGCAGATAGATCTTTTTGAGATCTTTCATTTAAAAACAAGTTCAACTCAATCCGATTTTTCGCTCAAAAGTTATAGGCAGTTGAAGGTTTTGACTTTGACCCCCCGCCCCGCCCCCCCCCCTCTCTGGGGGGGCCTAAGTCAAAATGACCGCCATATTTGAACGTCTCGCATGCTACTGTATCACTCCTGAAAAGATGGATCATATCTGATAGGGGGCCAAATCTAATGGGGGATGGAACAACCTCTTTCAGGCACTTTTAACTTGTCCTTCAAAAGCATTGGTTAAATATAGCTAGACTTGCATGAATGCTGCATGAAAGTTTCATTTGATACTAATTCAGAAACTTATGGCTGGTTGAAGGAAAATATTCTAAATTTTTCACGTTTCACCCAATATTAAACATTCTTGATTAACGTAGGCATGGCAACAATGATCTCCCATAGCTTTGAAAAAATAAAGATCATACCAATGTCCACATCGCTATCACTGTCACTGTCATCATCGTCTTCACCGATTTCTGGATTTGCATCTTCCTCTTCTGGCAGTTCTTCAATCCGATTCACAATACCATCCTTGTCGACTACAATCTTGGGTTCAATATAGCTCTTGTCTGACTTTTTACCAGGGTCTAATTTGTTCATATCCTTCGACACATCAACGGAATCATCATAATTAAATCCGATGGCAGCGGAGAGGTTTGATTTTTTCTTGCCCTCAATAGAAGTTTCATTGGGTTTCAAGTTTCCAAACTGCTCTTCCATGTAAAGTTGGTGTAGGAATTTATCTTCATTGACTGAAAGGAAAGAAAAGAAATTGAGTTAAGACACACATTAATTTAAAGGAATAAAATACCACATATTCTTCACGATCCATGGATGGACTGAAAAAGACATTTTGGTTTTGAAACTTTGCTATTATTGAGAAACGAGAAACAACTGCACCCAACAAATATTCAGTGCTTTTTCAGGTTTTACAAAATGTTAAATGATTTCTGCATAAACCGATTTCTTAGATGCATATGGCGTGTTGGCACCTGTGAGTTTCGAACACTGTTGAGAAACAACTGCACCCAACAAATATTCAGTGCTTTTTCAGGTTTTACCAAATTTTAAATGATAACTGCACAGAGATCGTTCTAAAATTTTTCAATGGTGAAGTTAAAAAGGTTGTTTGTATTGTGACATAAATAAAAGAAGAACTTGGTTGTCAAGCCTTACTAATGACAGAGGGTTAAATAACAATTGTGAGACAAGTGTCATGATGAAAAGTTAAGGAAAACTCACTTCCGAGAAAATTATTTTGAACGAGTATACGATAACGCTCATAATTTAACATCCTTTCCTCAGATGACAGAGGTTCATTGCTATCCGATTTCACTTCTGGAATGAAGTCCAAGTGGGCACGGACATCAAACCTGTCGATCATGATGTCATCACTTCCTTGCCATGGCATCCTTGAACACAAGGAAACTTATATTAAGGATGGGAAAGAATTTTTAACTTGCTAAGTAATACCCTTCAGTTTTGCAAAAGAAAACAAGCAGTGAACTCCAACACAATGTGTTGATAAGGCGCGTCATTAACTCGCACATATCAACCCCTTTAGTTTTCATTTACAGAGATTTCAAAATAGGCAAACAGCATAAAAAGAGAATTCACGATCCAACACTGCGAGGTCAAAGACGCACCTTGACGAGACCGTGTATTGTGAAAGTAGAAAGCTATTCGATCGAATTTAAGTTTTTTGATCTGCCTCAAGCAAAATCTTATCAGATTCTTGAAGAAAAGTGCTACGGAATAATTTAAGCGAAGAAAGGAAAAATTCTGTCGAACTCCTAGAAGATAAAGTCGATTTAAAGGTATTTTGGGGCTAAAATACCCAAATCACCGGTAGTAAAAATCCCGTTATATTATTGAAAAGAAATTGACTCGATATAAATGCAATTGCATTAAATACGTCTTGATTTTGTTATTTTAAACGTCTTTCCATGCAAAGAAGTTCAACCATGTCGTTGCTTTATTCATTCATGAATTGAAAGTAAGCAATCTACATCCCGAAAATCTACTGATTTGCCGTAAAAAATTGCAGAAACTTGATATACCAGGTCGATGCACCCACTCGTTGAATTTACCAACCAATTTTGTGAGTGCAAATGTGTAAGAATCAATATGCTATAGTCATTTTGGGTGCATTTATTTTTCATGAAACAATAATAATTTCAATCCCGAAAAACCATCAATTTTCCGTATAAAATCGAAAAAATCAAAATATGTCAACTCCCCGACGTGAAAATTAGATTCTACGTATGTAAAATGTAAATACTTATGTATCGATATGCTGAACAGAACTATGTGTGGACAGTCAGAAGCCCGCGGCAACATTAATTCAACAGAAAAACTGTAAAAATTAGATAGGATTTTAGCCGCTTTGCCCGCCTCTCCTCGCTACTTACAACAAACCGTTCTTATACTCATCTCAAAATTTTTCTCAGAGCTTTGGGTTATTATCAGCTTCCATTTAAACTCCGGTTCGATGGCCGAATCGGCTGCCAAAAAAGCAAGCCACTGTTGAGGGGTTCTATGAGAAATTCGTGATATTATCGGCTCTCAGGAAATCACCCCATGGCTAAAATTGGTGGTATAAATGTTTAAGTGCTTAAAATAATCGTATTCAAGAAACTAAGGAATTAAACTATGGAGTCAATTTCTTTTTAATAATATAACGAATTTACTACCGGTGATTTAGCTATTATAGCCCCAGAATACTTTTAAAGCGCCTTTGCGTTCCAGAATCTCGACGGAATTTTTTTTTTTTTTTTTTTTGCTTAAACGATTCAAGAAACATTGTAGTTAAAAATATAAAGATTTTTCGATTTGGACGTATGAAAAATGTTTAACTCGTTCAGGCACACCGTGTATTGTATGGAGTACTGCTGTTATTCGACCGTTGTCTTCAGGTCAAAATTCTTACAAAGAAGCCCCTTGCAAGAGGCAAATTTTTTGTAATTTCTCCCAGTTTTTTCAGCGTTAGGTATATAAATGAATTGTTTGTCAAATTTTGAGGTCAATTATATTTAATTGTAATTTATACTTTCTTTTTTTCCCCTTCATTTTATTTTTCGTATCGAGGAGTCGAGGTTTTGTTGATTTCTTCGGATTTCGATTACTGTAACTTCTCTTCTATTCGGCCGATTTTTATGAATGAGGTCTCTTTTTATTTGTGTTTTAACGGAGAGTAAGGAAAAAATTGCTAAATACATGCGAAACAATTTTTTTTGAAAATTGGATGAATCCTAGCGTGACGGTGAAATGGTTAATGAAGCGTGAGTAATTGGGGTACGGGTATCGGCCGCGTTGGGACCCAAGGCCCATTGTTCTTCGTGACGCCGACGCAGTGATCAGGAGCGTGGGGACGAGAGGGCTTAGTGGACTCCTGTATGAGCCACGTTTAGCAAATGGTCTAATGAGTCTCGAGGCTCATCACAGATTGCACTTACCACTATCCTGGTGGCCCCGGCTATCAGAGCAAGGAGTACCAACTTTTGAAAAGGATAACAGTGTTGTGGAGATATGTCAAAGCAACGTTGTGAACAAAACGGAGTGAGTGAAATTCTCATTCAAGGAGTGCCGAACTGGTCAGCCATCCTCGAATCAGTTCGCTTGCTTCCGCTTATATATGCATATTTTAAATCAGCGCGCCCCATTCTAAGGTTTTTTTAAAAAAAACCAAGAAACGTAGACTCTTGGTATTCATTACACATAAACTAGCGAGCCCCAGAATGAGAAACAAATTTTAATCATTATTATTGACGGATTAGTAAACTTTTTACACGCTTTGGAAAATCTCAAAAGTTCGCGCCAGTCACTTTTCGGTAAGGCACTAGGGGACTCGGTTATTGTATCGAGGGGGGGGTCGAAACGATCGCAAAGGCGGTATACTACGTATACGCGCCAAAAAGAAAAAGAGGTTCATTAAAAATTCAAAAATCAAAATAAATGAAGGCATTTATCTGAGGCAACAGGTGTGTATTAGAAAAGATATTAACGTCGAAATTAAAAATTTGAACACAAATTATCTAAGTTTAAATGGCATCACCACAACCGTACTGTAGATGATATTAGACTTAAAAGGAGACAATGATTGTTTTGATGCCCCTGTTAGAGGGATGTGGTCGGACCTGGGTTTGGCACCATCTAACTGAAGTCCTAATCTATTTTGGTTTAGTGTTTTTCTATGTTTGTTCGTTTGTTTTGGTGGTTGGGGTGTGGCCAACCAAAGTATTAAGTTAGTAATTCTTTAAGTTTTAAGTTATGCTTCAAGTTGCTGCTCCACAGCTGTTAAATTCAAATATGAACTCAGATTTCCTATCACCCATCTTTTTCCTGGAACCTGAGTTCATATTTGAATTCAACTGATCAAAATACGTAGGAATCGATGTATCAAACATCGGAGACATTTTTCAAATATATTTTTAATACTCTTTGAGTCTGGGAAATTTAGGCTCGGAAAAATCGGCTTTACCAGAAAACTGGAGAGTGATAGGCAAAAAACCAAGGTCATGTTCGGATTCAGCAGCTCAAAATACATAAGTAACACACTACTACTGAACCAGGAAAATTTATACAAATAAATTGCATGCACGACAAATATACGTCAAATTTGCTCATTTTCCCAGGAAAAAGTAGCTTTCCCGGAAAACTGAGAGGTGAATGGGAAAAATTTAGGTCATTTTCGGACTCAGCCATTCAAAATACATCGACAACATTGTATCATGTAGCTGAGAAAAATTGTACCTACATTCTGCAGGGGGTAACAGACAGAAAAACACGAAAAATGGCCATTTACCCGAGTGAAATCGGCTTTTCCGGATAAGTGGAGGGTGATGGTAAAAAACGAAGGTCGTATTCGGATTCAGCCCCTCAGAATACGTGAGGATCACCCTATCTCGCCGGGGAGCCATTTCTTTCATTTTTTTGTTGAACAGTGTAATGACTTCTCCAATGAAGAGAGAGATGGTAGCGAGTTAAAAGATGCTTAAGGAGGCTCTTTTAATTAATTTTGTTTATTTTTATTATTTGTCACTCTAAAGAAACTTTCTTTCAAAGGTTTTTATACATACCATACTTATAAATATGCGTTTTTCATGTTTTAGTACCGTCCAAGTACAAACAGGGCAAAAACTGCTGATGTCCAGTTTATTGCAGGTAGTTTCGTGATGAAATGTTATTTGCCTCTTGTGAGTAGCCAGAGTTTCGCTAAGACTCTGTGGAACTCTAAGAAGTTTTTGGGTCTTTGGGTTTCTTACCATGAGGTCTCAATTAGAAGATTAGAAGGTGGTATTTAATTTTATCATGATTTTAAAACAAACAATACACAGATTATGAATCATATAATGAAAGATGAACTTTAGCGGTTTTTGCACAATTAGGACCACAGCCCTCTCCTGAAAAGAGGTTAAAACCGAAAAAACAAACATTTTCACCACATCAATGAGTGTGTCTAGGCTCCGAGAGTATTTTAATCCAAAAATCTCAGAATTGAAAAAAATGGACATTGGCAGTTTCCCTTGAGCCGATTCAATTATCAATACAATCGCGTTGTTTTCACTCTCCACAAGGCACTGATCTTATGACCAATTATTTTTCATTAAAATTTTGCTGAAAAAAGGTGCTGCTTGTTTGGTATAAATTTATTTTGCGTCATAATGAAGAGCTCACAGCTGAAATTATTATAGCCATTGATTGAATTACAGTGAGTATTCAATTTAAACCTATATGCAGGATTTGAATAAATGCATAGGGTTTTAGGTGTCACAAAAGGAATGTAAGTATAGCCCACAGTTATTACTACCTTCTTAACTTCCCCAGTAACTACTTACTTCATTCCTCATTGCGTAGACACTAACTACACGGTTGAATTGAGCCTTTAAGGTGGGTGACCCAGGCATGTATCACCAGTCAATGGAAGGATTTCTGCATATTGAAAAATATTTAACCATTTCGAGACCCTACTTGAATAAAGAATTTGTACTACTTAAACACAATTTGACAAAGAACAGCAAAAGCTGAGAAAACTTACATGGTTGCAGGGCTGTCTGCTGCCATTGCAACAGCTGGATCCAAATGAATTTTACAAGCACGAGCATGAAGTTGTAAAAATTGGGTTGGATCTGCTTTCTATAATACATTGGAAAAGGAACATTACTGATACTGAGAATGTGAGTCAGTTGTTTATAAAAAAAAATATGTTGCCCAAAACTTTGAAAATCAAATCTCATTTGTTTGGTCTTAGGTAATTACATTAGTGTACAGTCATGGAGAAAAAAAGGAGGTGATTGCATCTTGAGGATTGTTTACCCGGTGAGGTAGGCCGGTACAGTATGTCGTCGATATTCTAGTGAACTTCAAAATTTAAAGTATGAAGAACAGATGACAACTTTCTGTTTCTTTGAACTCAGATTTACTCAAAATATAAAGTCAAACACTTCATATAGAATTACTTTTTCCATAAACGACATCATTCCCAAGAAAATCTATAATAAAAGCGGTTGGTCCCAACCTACGTCATTGACAGAATCCAAGATTCCGGAAATGCGACCGTCTCCTTTTTTTCCTCTATGGTGAACAGTGACGCATCAGCTACCAAAAGATTAGGTGCCTATTGCCAAATTTTGGTCCGCAAATGACACCTTTGATGCATTTTTAGATGCATACATACCCAATGGGGTAGTTGCATGCAGCTGGGATTTTAGATCTGATGACTGTTTCTGGCAGAACTTTTCGCGAAAAAGCCGTTTTTTGCATTTGCAAGTTCCGAAATTGAGTCGAAAGCTTCGTGGAAGCTCGATAAAAAGTCGCAAAATCGCAGTAAGAAATGAACGATTTCCATTGGCTGTGATGTCCGTTGGTATACAAGGCCCCGCCCACCGCCATCATCCCTATCTCGACTGTGTGTTTACCGAGCCGAAGTATGATCTGTTGTGCCATTTAAAGTGTCTAAATAATCTTTTTTCCTCCGAAAATACTGTCAGAAATCACGCCAAAAGGTGTTCAGAACCGTATCATGATTATAAATTCAAACACAGCACTAGTTGAGATCAGAAAAGTGATAAGAACAAGTCTATGTTAAGGTGCTGTTGCGATTTTTGGTCACCGGCGCTACCAGCGCCGCAAGAGCCCAACTCGAGCTCTGATTGGCTACAACGCACGAACACTGCCGAAGCAGTCCGGGCGCGACCGAATCCGACGGACCGCACGGCTCTCGGCAGCAGCAGAAGATACGCGAAAAGCTCTATTTCAACTCCTTCTTTCACTAAGAAATCATGATGGAGAGCTTTCAAAATTGTTTTGAAATTATTAATCAAATCCTAAAATTTTCATCGACGTAAAGAAATGAAGTCTGGACAAAAAAATCGATTTATCGCGAATTTTTGAAAAGACCGTATTTACACGTATATGACATAGGGCGAACCTTGGTGTATACCATGTGACGTCACAAAGTTCCAGTTTCGAAGCGCAGGAAAAGACCCGTTTCAAATGGCTTTTGACTTTGAGGAGCTTTTTCTCAAAGTTCCGGTGACCGGAAAGTTTTTTTAAAAAATACCTCAATACTCAGTAGGGCTCAAACTTTGGGAAATTGAATTAAAAAAATTTCATGCAACTACCCCATTACAAATTTTCAAAATGTACTCTATTTTTCTTGTGCATGGAATTGATTTGAACTAAAATAAATGATAATTTCCATCTGAAAAATTACACTTACTCAGAGCTATGCAAATGTTATTTCTAAGAAAGAAAAAGAATGCTTCTTTAGCCGGAACATGAAAGAAAAATTATAGAATAGAAATAGGTACTGACGATTTTTTCATAGTAGTCTTTTCTCCTTTCCGCTCTCCTTTTGTAATCAACCATTAATCCTCGAATTTTCTTTTCTTGCTTGCGTGCTTCATGCCACATCATTTTGGCGTTAATTTTGAGGCTCTACCTGAAACAATGAAAATTGGAAGAAATTAAATAGAGAAATTGAAAAAATCCCGCTTACTTATGTAAACAAGGAACACATCATAAGCGGACACAGGGTGTCTACACGATTTTCAAAATGAAATTCCCTGACAATTCCAGGTTTTCCATGACAAAAAATAACAAAATTCCCTGACTTTTTGGGTTTAGCCATACGATGAACTAGTTAGAAAATATTAAAAAAAGACTATCCTTAGGAATAACCCTGTAAAGTCATATTCTGAATTACCATGGCGTTGGGAGGAGTTGAGTAATACTTTTGAAAGGAACGAGATCCTAAATACTCAAAATAAAGCTAATTCCAAAATGGTATACTCAAACTAAAATTCACCTTCAAAATTTAATTTTAAGCTCTACTACGCTCTCTTTGTGACACATTGCCCCGTATACTTTTGAAAATTCAAACTTTAGTTCACCCTGGTGATTCCATAAATATAGGCATATTACTTAGTGCCCTGAAAATACAAGTTTCTTTTTCTTAAAATAGAAAACAAGAGTTGTAAATGTGCCTAACTCAGGTAGATTTTGCTATAATCAAGAGGAAATACGAGTCTCTTCTCGATTTTAGATAAATTTGCTTGATTCGGGATTTTTTTTTTTTTTTTTTTTTTTTAGGTCAATTAATTCAATGGATTCCAGAACCTATTGTTTGTATTGAATTTGTCTTATACTCAACAAGCATTGGCTTGTTAGAATATAATCCACCAATAATATTTCTACAAGGTGGATGCACCAGTTGTGAACATGTTGATTTAAGAACCAGAAAAATTTCATGCAAAATGCGGTTGACATTAAATATTTCTATACTCAGTTAAAGAAAAACTAAAATTCTAGCCTTTTCATTAAATTTCCTAACTTATTGAAAAAATTGATTAACCATCTGCTCAAAACTAGGGCACTTAGTTTCCTATCATTATTTACTGTAATTTTCTGCTGTTAGCAAGTTAACTTCATTCAAGTCTATTTAGTCTATCTTGCCATTTAGCATGAATTAAGTAGATAAATTAAATAAGGCAGATCGATTCGATCTTTAAAGTTAGGGAACACACATTAGTGAACCTAGCGGCCGTGTTGCAAACTGGTTGAACAGAGCAGTTTACATTATCAGCCACGCAAGCGAGCTACTCGGCCAATTCGGCAGTGACGAGCAAAAATAGCCGCGAAATGTTCGAATTGCGAAAATTCCCTGACTTTCACCGGTTTTCGACCGAATTCCCTGACTTTTCCCGGTTTTCCAGACAGTGATCAAATTCCCTGATTTTTCCCGGTTTTCCAGACCTGCAGACACCCTGGGACAGTAACATGATGACAAAGCATATCGAATGTGAAATTACAGGAGCGCGTACAACAGTCTGCAACAATGCAGACTTAGTGTCACACTCCGTATCATAAATGACACCACTTTTGGCTTAATTAACATAATGGTAATAGAGGTAATGCAGGACTTTGAAATCACCATGACTAAACCACCATTTGTATGGTCCTAGGGATGGAAGCAATAAAATCAACTGTACAATTGATTCAGGAATTATGTCAAAGGCAGTTGCGTCTTCTGACAAAAAAGAAAATAATATACTATAAAAGAAGTGCAGTAACTGTCAACGCATGCACAACCATAATTTATTGTGCTCTGAACTTTTGACATTGAAGGAGATAATGAAGCAATTAGCAAATTTAGGACGGTGAGACGTTTGCAAAGTAGGGCTAATCATGAGTCCGTCACCTAATGTTGTGCTATTCTACAGAAAAGTGACTGAAGATAGAGCACTTGCAGAATAGCTTGTTAGGGTTTACGTTAAGAACTCAGTGGGTCAGCTGTAGGTAAGTATTGAGGCTAGTTAAACATCTACAGTTAGAAAATTTTAGTGAATACCTGCGTACTGAAAGAACTTGAATCATCCGATGCTGACTGATGACGGGAAAAAGGTTCCAATATTCATTAATTAGGCTCACTAATTACTCGCAGCGTATGCTAAAATTGCACAGATCGACGTATATAGAAGGTGTCGTCAACCAAGTTCAAAGACATGAAGACTGAGCAGGGAGCACTTGTATCTACTAATAACACTATTATTGAACGCCGTTCAAGTCAGAACCTTTATACCGGCGCGCGGAATAAATGAGGCCGTGTTTCTTTGAAAAACTCTAATTTTCCAGTTTCTTACTCTTCGCCAAATTCGTTGCGATGCTACGAAGTACAAGTACACAGAATATATAGGCTTCACCAACAGAAGGTTCACTCCCGTAAACTCCAATGTATCA